TGTTGCTAGAAACAATTTGATGTCCGTTTGAAAACCTCTTGTTTGCTGTGCTAGGGCGTCTCTAAGATTTTGTGCACAACGGAAAAAGGCCCTGTAATTAAGGTTGTTGGAGTTTGAACCTCTGTGGAGAGCCACATCGCCCATTCTTATATGAAATCCCACTTTTAAAACTTTCTTTGTGAGACCGAGTGAGTGTCGAGCTGCACTTAGCCTGGTTTCTAGCTCTTTAGACTTGAGAAAGAGGAAATCGAAAGCACACCCTACCAAGGAGTTGTTGGTTTTTCTTGGCAATTCATTTACGTTTTTCTCAAGGAAAGGCTTTTCCAACAAGGCGTTTGCAAAATTCCAATTGCTGACAATCTTCTCGACGGGGTGATCGAAATACGATGAGAGGTCTGCCTGCCGCAGCCACGCTTGAAAATCTAGTTTTGTTTTCCACGGCTTCAAAACATCACTTCGAGTCTTCTTGAAATGTTCTTTTTTTCCTAAATAATGTATCCTTGAGTCGAAATGTTTTAAATTCTCCATAGAATAGTTCCACTGAACACCTTTTGGGACAAGGAAACGTTCAAGCGGGGCTCCATGATCCCAGTCTATCAAAAGTGCTCTTTGTGTCAAGATAGAGAGAAATAAAAGTGAAGTAATTCCTCCAAGTCTATTTCCATAACCCCCGCACCCGTATCCTTCTTCTTTGCACGTGAACACGATAAACTTTTGCGGGCGCCGTGCCTGAAGAATGTCCTGGTGAAGTTTTTTATAACTTTTCTGCCAGTTATGACCGCATCTTGCCTCTTTGCGTTGTTCGTATGTTTGCATCTGTCCAAGTGACAAACTTTCGCCACCTAGACTGTCATTGGCATGAAATGGATACAAAGAACGCCAGATTCCTAAAAGAATACAATTAAATAAGGGTAGAAAATGTCAAAGTATCGGCAGTGATGAGATAAATATTTTGAAACAAGAAATAGCATTTTTTTTTAAATCTTAACCACAACGTTAAAGTTGCTCAAAAACCTTTTCAGACTTTGGGTTATGTTTTCGCCAAACCTAAGGATCCTGTCACGAAAGAACAACGAACCGACGCCATTTATTCTATTCCTTGTAGTGACTGTGACAACGAATACATCGGACAGACCAAACGTCAGTTTGGTACACGTTTGAAAGAGCATCAAAAAGCGGTTTTCTTTTGCAAAAAGAAAATTCAGCTTTATCAGAGCACACATGCCTAACCAACCACGCAATTGGGTGGGATAATTCTAAAATTATAACCACTAATCGGCGTTACCACCAGCGCCTTTGTTTGGAGGCTTGGCATATTAACTCCGCCCTCGCTCCTTTAAATCGTGACGATGGCGGCTTACTTCCTGGCGCCTTTTTACACCTCGTCAGAAAAAAAAGACAGCTAATTAGTGATCATATAAA